CATTAGCCTATAAAGGTAAATTAAGATATTTGTAAAATAATTCTGTTGAAATTCTGTCCATTTTATAATTTCATCATCCGGGCTCGCATTGATAAATTTAATATAATACGTTAGTAATGTATGACAAGGAATGAAATGAATTTTACTCAATAAAATTTTTTTTTATATTGAAAAGACACTTTTTTTCGTAAAATCCAAACATCTCGGGAGAAATGTACAAACCGTTTGCAACGCCCAAAAACGACTATTTCCCGTTATCAAAGGACAAGCATACCTACCAACGACGGATATGTTAATTCATCATGAACAATAATTCCTCCCGCGCAAAGGTTTATACGATTAAAATCTGTTGCTGTTTGCAATAATATTATGTTTCCTACTACGGATTAACGGCCAATCACATCATTATATCACGTTTCCCCTTATTGCCAAAAACGTCGACCCGCGGGGACATGCAACGACATGCAACTTTTTATTAAGGTTTCTCTGTATGAATATGTTTATACAAGTGTTTTCTTTTTATGTTAAATACTTCTAAAATACTATGACAACAACCAGCTAGATTTGTGTGTCCGCCTCACTATGCTTATCCCCGCGTTCCGTATCCTAAGTGCGATAGGCCAAAAACCCCCGTATTTTGTTGATTTCTCTTATTTTCCATCTCCTCTAAGCGCTAGGTTTCGCATCCACGTGTGTGAGCATCTATGAATAGAATATATATATTTTTATATATAAATCGACTTTTCCCATAACACAATCTAGATTCGGACGCACCCCGCAAGTTCATCCGTAGGGCCACCGAATCTACGGACCAGTCAAGATGGAACAATAATCGTTTCCACCACTCTTCCCAGGGGTTATCTGTGAGACTTGATAAGGTCAAGTCCACAGTCCTGCCAGGATCTCCACAATACATAAGGAGCCTACGAACATTCCACGTGGGGGTTTATCCTGGTCTAAACCCACACACACGTGGATGTGGATTCGTCCTTACCAATAAATATTAATAAGTCCCGACCTGCACGTTCATCGTTATGTCCCTAAAAACAATTTTACGACCGGTTGACGCCTCAGCTAATGTACGGGTAATTTAAAACAAAAACTGTTTGTAGATATTTATTTATATATGTCCTATATATATTTGTCACTTTCAGAATCATACCTATTATTCAATCTTTCAAAGGGTCAGTTTTTGTGCCCAATGCTTTTTTGTTGCATTAACTTAATTTTTACTTTTCATTGATAAATTAATAAAATTATTCAATATTTTCCTCCGGGAAAACACGAGATTATTTCATTAAATTCTCCTTTTTTCCCTTCCCTCCTCACAATAATGATAGAAATCAGGTCTTCGGCCCTCGGTGCTAGGTTGACGAAAATCATATTAGGCGGGTCGTCAGCTGTGCGCTCGGTCAGGTCTCAGACACAGCTGACCGAAACAGAATGTCCACGTTCTTATAAATTTCCTAAAATTGGATCCAGTTTCGTTTCTTTTCTTAACACGTGGGTCATTTACTATAAGATTATGGTAACACAATTTCAAAAGTGATAAATTATTTAGGTACATTCTGAAAACATAGTATTCATTTTTAGTAATTATTTCCTCTGCTTCATTAGGATTGTAAAGCTTTTGAAATAAGTTCAGTATTTAATTAAATCGACATCTGAAATCAGGCAATCTGACCATTGTTTTAACTATTTAAAATTGTAGGAACAATAGCATACACTTCTAACGTGTAAAACAATAATTTTAATGGATATATGTTCATTGTACGCTGGTGTTGTAGAACCAGATAATATGTGTCACTACTCTGAATAGAATATATTTTAAATCGTATATACGTGTAACCATTTGAGTTAATAAGATACAAGTAATATCGAACAACACACTTTTGAACACTTGATTAAACATATTATTATAATTATACTGTGTTATGACGTAGGGAATATCAGGAACGTACAAAATATATAATCTATGATTGCTCTAAACAGCCTGACATTTGTGCTCATTAATCATTATAAGTTAGTTATAAATACAAGCAAAATTATGCCAGTATAATACCAATTTCATCTATAACAAGTATTTAAATTGAAAAAATATCTTTCAGAATAAGTACCTATATATTTTAACAGTAAATATCATTACCGCTCTTAAATTAATATTATAAATTATTAGAGTATTCAAAAAGTGTTGTTCGATACCACTAGTCACAAACCAGCTGAAACAGGAACACTTATGGTAAATTAGAGTTACAACAATTTTATTCAGAATAGATATACATTTTTTCTGATCCGACATCACCAGCGTACAATGAAATTAAATGCTTTAAAAGTGTTGTTTTGTACGTTTATAGTACATGTTTTTATTCCGGAAATTCAAAGTGATTTATTTACAGCATTGGGTCTAAATTCTGATAGCAGTAAGTTTAATAATATCGTAGAAAATTTTAAAAATAAATATGATCTCGTAGAAGGAGCAGAAATTATTGATCAGTCTCAGGACGATAAATTCGGAAAAGTCTCTAAAGAGTTTATCGCATTTGAAATCGATTTACTTCTAATATTACAGCAGATGGCCTACGCGTTTAATGAAAGAAATGACACCAGACTCATTCACGAGGACTATTTTATAACAATCTGTACATATCTCCCGAGATGTTTGGATTTCATCAATATTAATGTAATTCAGAATTCAATAACAACTATGTTGAACAAAATTCATGTAGTTCTATGTTATTCATTACCAACATATCTGAAGACATATATCAATGCCTTACCGAATCATATAGAAAGTGAACGTTTTAATGTGGCAATTGAAACTGATTTGGCAGATATATTATCAATGACAAAAGATAAAACAAAAAAAGATATAAACCTGTTTATAATGCAACAAAACTATAAGATGGATAGTCAGAATTTTATTACAAATGTTTACAAGATCATTGGAAATATCGATTTTATATCATATATAAGAACAAATCTCGGTAGTATAAATCAGCATTATATGACACTTGATTCGAATACTAAAGAAATCAAATTCAAGGTGACTAAAGTAAGTACCAGAGACAATGAAAAACAAATTAATTCTGAAAACAGTATGCATTTTCTGGAACTCAATAGAAAATATACAAATGATCTTCGGGACAAATGCGGTTTATCAAATGCTGACATTCATCCGTCAGAAGATTTGTCAAAGCTCGAAACAATGCAAGAAATTGTTTTCTATACATTAAAGAAACTCCAACAATATTGTACAAATAGTATATTGAATAGTACAAAGACAAATTCTAGAGTAGACGAAAATGACCTAAGGAACACGATTGATGTTTTGGACACGTTACATGACATATGTCATAATATGTCTTTATTTCTTGTCTATTTAATAGAAAATGAGGTGAACGTCGACTCTATAATGTTCAGCACGTATTTGACGTTTTGCGGAGACTTCAAGGGATACAGTAATATCCGTTGCACTAATGCATTTCACGGTACTTCTTCCATTAAGGACCTCAAAAGCAAGCAGATTAATTGTACACAGGAAACGTTAAAAAACATTTGGACGTGGAATATATTAATAACAACCACTGAGGTCCCCCAAAAAAATGAAGACCAATATTTAAAAAACGGAGATTGTATATTTATGTACCAGGATTATTTAATAAATATCAACAATACTATCAGATTATTTTACAAAGGAATGGACGCGTGGACCACGTTTGAATGGTTGAGTGGTAAATATTTTCTTGCCGAGAATATCGAAAATGAACTTATGTACGATATAAAATCCAATTATATAAATATTAAAAACGTAAATATTAAATTATCAGTTGCGTATTATGCTGCATTACCATGGGGTTTGAACACGTTCTCTATAGGGAATTTCCATAACGTGATTGTAGACAATATAGAAAAAACTATGAATGCTTACGTTTACATACACGCGCTTATCATACATTTATACTTAAAACGCGCAGGTATGAGCATCGATTCTCGTGCATTACAAAAAATACGAGATAGTGTTATGTGGTATAACGAAGGGACGAAATTATTTTACAAATATCTCCATTTNAGGATGAATCCCTATCAAATGATAACATAAAGACTATCATTTATAGAATACAAAATATTGACGACAGCGGTTATATAAATATCAACGACGTCATTCCTGAGTTCGAAAAAAACTATTTTTTGATATGGGCCGAAACTAATATCCCCAACAACGATGTTGGAAAAAAACGATTTAACACGTTTGTGAATGGGAATTGTATGGACGCAATGGGCTACATGAGTACTTTTTTGTCGATCGTTCAAAAGTCTATGGACATAGATTTCGAATTCCAATCAGCTAAATCTATGTACTCGCAGTACTGTCAGGAAAATATATTTGATGTGAAATCTGCTATAAAGCCCATGAGCGTAGTTGAAGACAAGCAAATAAATACAGAGGCCGGTTCTACAAGTGTAAGCATTGGTTCAAGTTTACTTGAAAATACTTCAACGTTGAAAAATCTTTTGATGAGATACCTTAAACTTTAATAGAAAATTTTGTGTGAACCTAGTGTTGAATTTTTTTTATGAATTTAACAAATTTAGATTTATTATATTTTTGATAAAAATTATTCATATTTAATATGTCATCTTATTAAAATTTTTTTTTTGAGTTCAACCATATCATCCTTTAATATAGTTTCAATTTCATAAATTTAATGAGCGATAAAAATATATTTTTTTTGCAAAGTAAATGTATAATGCTAAGGTTATTTGTAAACGACTACAGAATGTAATGTACTTTTTTTGTTTATTAATTGATGATCTAGTATTAAAAAGGTATTTTCAATTATATGTGTTTAATTCTAAATTTGAGTTTTATTATTTATCAAATAAATCGCATTTTATTCATATTACCAATAATTATTTAATTCTATCTTAGTTTACAAACGTAGTAACATGTGTTTTACTATAGTATCACGATCATTGTTTTTGTATGTTTATAAATTTTTGTCGGTTATTTTTCTTTAATTTGATTTTTTTGATGTATTTTATTATTTGATTATTATTATAAAATCACACTTATCTACTTGGAATATGTAGTAAAATGATTTAATGAAAATGTAATACCAGGTGTGGTCACGTATTACAAAGTTTATCGAAAAATAAATATAAATAGAGTGGCAACGAAAAAATCAAAATAGTTTCCAACGATGTCCTACAAGTCAATTTAAACACTGTTGAAAGGTTTTTGGACGTTTTAATACGATTGCAATACACGGTGTGATGCCAGCAGTACACGGTTTAACGTATAGGGAATTTACAGATGGTCTTCAACAATTGGACGGCAAATACTTTTTTATACTGGTAGTTATATTTTCGAAAAGTTCTGCTAACAATGTTATGCCAAATTCATGCTACTCGGTTATTGGTTATTGCGGAGTTTTTTTCCATAGCATGGGATACATGCGCGGCGCGATATTAGAGACACACTTATGTTAGCCGATATGTCAGTTTACTAAATCGTAGGTTACATAAACGATCTTTCTATGGATAAAATTGACAATCATTGACCATTCAATATAATATGAGATTTTATAATTACAATAAACTTTTTGTTTCACATTAATATTACATTGGATTCAACTAGATAGAATGAGTAACTACCCGAAATAGAATCATTTAAAACTCGTATATACGTGTACCAATTTCGGTTATTATGATATTAGTACTGTGAAATAACATTTTTGAACACTTGATTAAATATAATATATTGACTTATGCTTCATACTGATTTATGACGTAAAGAATATCGGGAACGTAGATAATATATAATTAATTATCGCTCAATACAGCCTTCCTTTTGTGCTCGTAAATCATTATTAGTTAGTTATAGATACAAGCATAAATTTGCTAGTATCATATTGACTGCAACAATGACACGTATGTAAAAGTTGTGAATATTTCTTTCAGAATAGGTACCTACATATTTTAACACTATAAAGCATTAGCGCTCCTGAATCAATATAAAATAAATAGTAAAGAGTTAAAAAAAAAATATTGTTCGATAAACCAACTATCTCAAACGGAAACAGATACACGTATAAACGAGTTATATAAGTTTCTATTCATAAAAGGTACACATTTTATCACAACTCACGACGTAACGGTTCAATGGCGTTTAATGCTTTAAAATTGGTGTTTTATACGTTAGTAGTCTTTGTTATTGTTCTAGATATTTCAAATTAAGTTACAACAGATCGCAGACTAACTACTGATAGAAGTAAGTTTAATAATATCGTAAACGAACTTTAAACGAAATATAATCACCAAAAAAGAACACAAATTATACCTCAGCATCAAAACAAAAATGTCGGCCATTTACCTGAAGAATTTATCTATTTTGAAATCGATTTACTTATAAAATTACAGCAGATGACCTACATGTTTTGTATAGGAAATGGAACTGGACTTTTACATGAAGAACATCTTTTAAAGATCTGATCATTTCTCCCGAGTTGTTTGGATTTTATTAAAATCAATGTCTTTCAAAATTCAATAACAGTTATGTTGAATAAAAGTCATCCATTTCTTTGTTACTCATTACCAACCTAATTCAAGACATATATCAATGCGTCGCCTTATAATATCGAATAAGAATTTTTTGATAAAACAATTGAGAGAAATTTGACCTCTATAGTATCAATGACGGAAATTAAGCCAAATATAAGTGACAAACTGTTTCGGCAGCCGAACTACAAAAATGACAGTTTAAATTTTAATTCAAATGTTTACGAAACAATTGGTAATATCGATTTTATATCATATATAAGTGAAAATCTCGGTAAACTAAAGCAACATTATGATGAACATAAATCGCATAATAACCAAATAAAATTCAAGGTGACTAAAGTAAGTACCGGAGACAATAAAATACAAATCAATTCTGAAAACAATGTACATTTACTGGAACTCAATAAAAATTATACAAATGAACTTCGGAAAAAATGCGG